GGAATAAATCATAGGACCAACCAAAAATAGTTTAAGGACCTTAAACACATCAAAACCCCACATTTGAGAGTTTATAGCCATAGAACATGCCCCATGGCCGTAAACTCCTAAAAGTGTGTCAAATGGTGCACAAAATTCATTTCTAGGCTTGTGGGAATTTTTAGAATCACATGTGATTGATTTTAAGACCTTAAAAACACTTATTCAAGAGGATATGAGAGTTTACGGCCATAGACCCCATGCTTAGGCTGTAAACTCCCTTAAGTGTTGTATTTGATGATTTTAATTCAATCCAAGCCTTAGGTAAAATTATTCCAAGTATTTCCCAAGTGTCCATATCCATTTGTGACCCATTAAACACCATAAACCACCCCACCATGAGTTTACGACCGTAAACTCATGGGGAATGGGTTTTATGGCCGAAAAATCCATTTAGAAGTTTACTCTTGGGGAGTAAACTCATTTCCTAAGTCCCTCGCATCATTACATGTCCTTAAACGCCACCGGGTCCCTCCAAACACTTGTATCGGAGTGTTTTCGCGAGTTGAAGTAATTGTCCTTATCAAATAATCAATCTAGGTCCTAATTAGATACAAATGTGTATCTTTACATTATACTTAGGAACCTCGTGCGTTTGCAAGCCCCGGACCAACATTTAGCATGCGAAATCGTCACATTTCTCATTCGGTGAGTTCATACCCCTACCCCCTTTTCCGTGTTTTTCAATGTTTTCAGGGGAGGAATACAAGCAAACTACAAATGTTTTCGAATTATAACATTGATGTGTTTCAAATAGTATCTGGCAAACTTATAAACACTTTTACTCCTTATGTATTATGCTGAGCATAAGGAATGATTTATCAATTACAACTAAATGGATTTTAGTTAAGAAAATAACCAAACTAATCAAATTATTATGGGAATAATTTGGGGTTCTATAGTTCTCCTTATATCATGTACTGATATCTATATAAAGTTATTAGATAAACTATGTCTGATTCAGTTTATCTCCGTATCATTTGAATGTATTGCTAGATAGTTTCATTGTATGTATCTATTTTCACTGTATTATGTTTCATAATCTTTGTATGTTTGATATCGTATGAGAATCCTGTGAATAGTTTAGTACTAGTTTGTGAGTAGTCACTACCCTTATGGATGATCAGTAAATCCTCCCCGGAAGTGTAACCAGAGTCTCCTGGAGGGAGAGCGAGGAATTTGTGAATAGATCTATTCGGGACTGACAATCCCACACCTTAACTGCTAGCTACAGTTAGGCGGGCACGCCTGGGGTGACAAATTTCTGGATATCATTCGACGTCTGACAAGCATCAAGGAGGTCTCGTTGTCGTATTAGCATGGTTACCCGACTCACAACATGTATTAATATAAGTTTATTCACAGTATCATTTTGACTTTGTTTCGATTCCGTATCTACTTTTTATATGGTATCTATAACTTGTACGGGATGTTTGCCCCATGATTTTTAACTATATCTTATACAGGATAGTAATCCCATGGTTTTGTATCTATAACTTGTACAGGATGTTTGCCCCATGGTTTTTAACTATATCTTATACGGGATAGTAATCCCATGGTTTTGGATCTATAACTATTACGGGATAGTAATCCCATGGTTTACACCTATATCTTGTCCGGGATAGTGATCCTATGGTTTTCAATCTATATTTATTTCGGGATAGTAATCCCATGATTTCGATCTATATCAAGTACGGGATGATAATCCCATGGTCTAAATCTATATCTTGTCCGGGATAGTAATCCCATGGTTCCCAATCTATATTTTCATATGTGTCAAACTATCTTATATCTCGTTCGGGATAGTGATCCTAAGATTTTCAATATATAGTTTTGTGTATTAAACTATACTCTGTGTTATTCAATTTTGCATTTAGGAAAATATGGGATTTTCCTGGGGTAAAATACTTCACATAATCGAATTGGTAACAAATGATAACTAAACTAACTTTACATAAGAAAATATGGGATTTTCTTGGATAACAAACCTTTTCGGAAAACTAAAGGAAACCGATACATTTTCATAAAACAAAACCGCTTATGAACTCACCAGCTTTATGCTGATTTTCAAACCGCTTGTATTCTCAGGTCCAAGTTAGACAGGTACCCGGTGATCTCTTTTGGTGAAGACGGATTGCGTGGAAGACTCGTCTCGTTTTGTTCATATGATATATGTATAACTTTTGTACAATTTACTTTTGAAACAAATGTAAACTTTCATATATATATATATATATATATATATATATATATATATATATATATATATATATATATATATATGTAATGTAATGGTTGTTTACTGTGATTACTATGTACATTGGATTTGATACACAACGTAGAGTCCACCCCGGAAATGTTTCCGCCTTTGATTTTCGGGGTGTGACAGATTGGTATCAGAGCCCTTGTTTATAGTGAATGGAGTATACCAAACCTTACATGGTATAAAACTATAAACATTAAAGGGTCTAAGTGCTCTGAATTAAAAGTATCTTCAAAACTATAAGTATTTTCAAAAGTATACAAGTATACCGAGCCGTCGAAATCCGTAACTACAAGTACAACAAAACATAAGTAAATGGGTGTTGTACACTGCGCTTAAACCTGGGCAGCTATGTAGTCGTGTCTAGGATAGACATCTGAAAAAGAACAAAGTTTAGAATATATGAGAATCCTTAATATTACACCCAACATGAAATATTAAGGCTACACTACTAAAAAAAGGCCTTTTACGACGCTCATTGCGCGTCGTAAAACGCTCAGACGACGCGCAAATGCGTGTCAAGGAAGGCCCTGTTATAAAGAGAGACGACGCGCATTTACGACGCGCATTTATGACGCGCATTTACAACGCGCGGTTACGACAAGCATTGCGTATCAAGGAAGGCCCTGTCATAAAGGAAGATGACACGCATTCGCGTGTCGTAACCTTACGACGCGCACGTTAATGACACGCAATGCGTATCAAGAAAGCCCCTGTCAAGAAAGGCCATGTCATAAATGAAGATGACACACATTTTTGCGTATCATAAATTTAAATGTTTAAAAAAAAAATTATTTATAGATTTACTTATTTTCAAATTAAATTTGTATTTAATGTTTCATAATAGAAATTAAAATATAATATACAAAAAATAGAATCCATTGCATCAATTTAATGTCATACAAATAATCGTTCCATGGAAAGAGGTTTTCCTAACTATATAACCTAATACTACATTGTTATTAAGGAACACCTTCTTCTTTCTACTTCTTATTGTTATGTTTCTGTTTCCGCATGATACCTATTTTCATCGTCAACACATTAGTATTCAGAAAGGCTTCAAGCATCATCAATCTATGTTATAAAATATTAAAATTTAATACACATGTAGTAACATACATTTTTCCAAGAATCCAAAGTTCAATATAACCAATTAATGAATAACTTGAAATACGATCTGGGGTTGAATGATGTACATCATGAACCAACACAACACAACAGATATGATAGTTACCTTGAATTGCAAAGTGCTGTTAATGGCATCACTTATAAGCTCCCGGTTGGACCCATATCATGAACCAACACAACAAGTTCCTGATGAGACAACACACATTTTATAAAATCAAGAATTTCCCTATGTACCACAATTAATATCTCGAGAGTTATAGAATTTCATGTCAATTTTGGTGAAATTTTGAAATGGATAAACAAGCTTTTCAATCTATCACTATACAGTTTTTGATCAACCAATTCATAATACAATAAAAATAGTACCAAAGATTGATTAATTTAATCAAGTCTTTAAAAAATGGTGCAACACTTACTATTCGTGAAAGCAAGGAATGAAGAGCATGCTCAAATTCATGGAAAAGGGTATCCACGTCAGAGTGGTTAAGTCTCACGATTGATGAATTATGGGGCTTTGAGAAGTTGCAAACAACGACAATCACCTTCACAATAATAATCAACAAAAACATTTCATCACTTTTTTTCTATTCTTGGTAATGGAATACAATAATAATTCCTGCAATTTGCCCTTAATGAACAAAACAAAATATATTGTAATAACAACTTACTGGCAACTGGTATTCTGTTTTGGAAACTGTACGCCCTCCTCTTATGGCAAAATGAGCACAACCAGGATACTTCCCCTGTCTACAATTTAAATCAAGGTATATATACCCCAAATCCCCCTTAAATGCATTTAATAACAAAACAAACAACAGTTAATTATATTTTTGGTCCCTTAATTTTTGCAATTTTGGTCTTATTTGAAGTTTTTGGTATATGTTTCAAGAAAATGACTATATTTTTGGGGCCAAAGTTGAAAACAATCAGGTATTACTTGGAACAAGGATCAAAAAAGTTATAAGAACCTCAAAGGATGACCAAAACTGCAAGAGAAAACTTTTGGGACCAAATTGAAAAAATAAGCCATATTCAGAGACCAAACATTTAATTTACACGATAAAACAAAATTGGGAATATTCATATAAATGGATATGTACCTCATCAGGATGATGAAGGGCAACTGGTATTCTGTTTTGGAAACTTTTGGGACCCTTTTTGACATTTTTACCCTTCAACTGGTTGTTGTTTTTCTTGCCCACCACAAGCTTTGAGTTTTTTGCATTGGTCAACTCCCTTGCCTGCACTTTAGGTGGTCTTCCCCTGCGTTCTAATTTCTTGAAAAGCGCCATGTCATCAGTCAGATGTAATGATGTAGATTCACCTTGTGTCTTAGGAGGTCTTCCACGATGTTTTTGCTTCTTCTGTGGTTGACCAGTCTGTTGAATGTTTACATTGACTTCTTTGAGCTCAGTTTGGTCGAAGGAAATTCCCATATGTTGACTCAATCACACACATTGTTCCCTCAGCAACCACCCTTTACAATGATACAGCAGCAGCAGCAACACGTGTTGCAGAGCCAACTTGGCATTCAGGCCCCACGAAGCGGAAGTGGGACCAGCATGGAAGGTCAAGGATGTGGAGTTTTTCCTAATTTCAGCTTTGGGGAAGTAGCATCCTCACAGCAGCAACCAGCTCCCTGCAGTAAAGTGATTGCAATAAGTATAAAGGATTTGGTTGGTCGGCAAATAAGTACAAGAATAGTACCTCTGGGAGGAATCGATAGCAGCAATAACACTGATCATAAAAACAGCTTGCATGAAATTTAAAAGGTCAACAGAAGCATACATATCCCCACCAAAGAAAAATCAGTCCAAAAACTTGATAACTATTACACATCTTCTACACAAATTTGCCTTTGTAGTGCCTCACTAAAAATTAAATCAGTTAGATAAGAAAAAAGAACATGTGGTGAATATTTTTCACAAGAAATGACGTTCAATAAAATTTAAAAGGATTTAAATACCTCCAACTCAATTTTCTCACTATGCAGGGCAAGATACAAAAGGGTTACAATGATGGTTTCCATGATAGGGCGTGGTTGATGACCAGCAGCTAAAACCTCATTGGCTTTAACGACCTTATCCTTAAATAACACCACCAATTTTACACTAAAATTTGACCTGGAAAATGGAGAAACATAATCAGGCCACATATAGCAGTCAGTACCTTAGTTGGCTGAAGCTTAACATCAGAAAGCCTATCAACCATGTTGTCCAGTGATATAACCTGCAATACCACATATCAATGAAAAAATTAGACAAAAGAAATATCTATTGTCACTATATATTTACAGGAGAGTACCATCTCAGAAAACCCTTGACAATAGACCAAAACCCTACCCGCTTCAAGGTTCAAGACCATTCAACCACAGCTCAGACATTAAATAACAAATAAACTGTGAATAAAATCTCAAATGTGGATATTTTACTTGATAACCGGATGAAGACGCAATGATAATAGTTGACATGAAGTTGAATTTCAGACCATCGATATGCTGAAACAGTGAAAAAGGAAATACTAAGCGGCTATGGAAGGGATAGAGGAGAGAGAATGAAGAAGATTTTGCGTTTTTGCTTCGTGATGATGCGAATATTTTATGGATTGAGCACCACCTGTAAGAAAATTAGGCGGGATTTTGCAAATTAGTTCCATGAACCAAGAGTTGGATTAAGAGGGGAAGAAGCAGAGGGATAGAGATGATGAATTCGAGATTGAGATGATGAATTCGAGAGATGGAGATGAAGAAGCCCTTTTTCTCCTCACACTGTTTTCTAATTTCACTACTAGAAAACAGCCTGATGCTTAGGGTAGGGAGGGATAGAGATGATGAATTCGAGATTGAGATGAATTCGAGAGGTGGTGCTCATTGTTTGCGTTTTTTCTCCTCACACTGTTGGCGAGTATTCTCAATAACAGCAAAGAGATGAAGAAGATGAAATTACAGCAACGATGAAGTAGATGAACGGAAATCAGAAGCCCTTTTTCTTGATTGAGATGATGAATTCGAGAGATGGAGATGAAATCGTAACCTTCGATCTTTGATTGAGAAGTTGCACAACAGTGTGAGGAGAATCAAAGATGCGTGAAAATGCTTAGGGCAGGGAGGGTAGCGAGCTTTTCTAATTTTTTGGCTTTTCTTTTCCCGCTTGTAACTAAGGAACGCGCGTTCATTAAAATTATAAAGCGACACATATAGAGGGCACGCATTTAAGGTACAACGCCCTCCGTGTTTTTATTTTTTTCTTTTGACACTAATTTAAAGGCACACAATAATGCGTGACCTAAATCCTTAAATTTTCTGAAGAGATGACACTTTTTTAATGTCACTCTCGTTTGCGTAACATATATTAATGAGTGTCGTAATTTGCGCGTCGTAAAAGGCTATTTTTCTAGTAGTGCTAGGACCCAACACAATATTCTACACTTACGAAGAGGGATGCCGTAATCATATTGTAAAATATCTAAAGGTAGGTAAATGACGATTTACCAATTTCCACCATGAAAAAATGAAATAGTGTATTAAGTTTTAATTGGTTTGAAATTCCTATATCTTTGAGATTCATTAAATTTTCAATGACATGTTTAAATCTTGATTGTGCCCTTTAAGTTTGTGACTGGATGTCGAGGATCACAGACAAGGTGTGAATAACCATGCAAATTAACTGGGTACACCAAATGTTACAAATCAACTAATCAATGTGCCGGTTAACCACACACGCTCCATTGATCTATGATTAACACCAAGCTACCCTTTGCCACATATTGTCAGTCCCAAATTAGGGTGTCGGTTAACCACACACGCTCCACTAACGACTTAATAAGGTGCAAAGTGTAATTTTATTGATTAGCACAATTTTCACATTTCTCCTAAAGTAATTAAGATTGAGAATTTAATAAAAGTCTAGTTACTTTATATTTATCGTTATACTTTTAATGAGGGAGAATTAGTGTCCTATCCTACCCGTTCATCTAACGACCCTCCACCAGTCATGGAAGCTGTGAGTGAGAGTAGACATCCATTAAACCACCATTTTATAGGCAGTAACCTTATACCCCCTCCCCCTATAGACCAGCTTCGTGAATGAGGCATACTAATGGTAAGACTGACTTGCTCTTATATATATATATATATATATATATATATATATATATATATATATATATATATATATATATTAAACTTATAATACTATAAAGTATAAGGGTTGAATTTTAACTTTTAAAACTCTAGGGATTGGAATTAAAGTTTCATTTAATGAGAGACTTTGCAAATTCCAAAACTTGAGGGCAAGTTATAGAGGTCATTAAACATCAATTAGATCATTTTTTCTAACAACTAAATTATCACATAATTCATGATCTAACTAAACTCATAAACAAGACAATTCTAAATCAACAATTTATAAAAACAACTTGGTTTAAAATATAAAGAAAAATTATTTTAAAATTTTTGACAATTATCTTGTGGTTGGATGAGTACAAGCACTACCATATTATAAAAAAAACATTTCCAATGATCCAAAACAGTTTGTGGTAGTGTTCCAAATCCAAACCAGGCCAATAAACTCGAAATTCTGCACACAGAGCCTTCAACTTGTCGAGTGCATGAACTGACTTGGCGAGTTGCTCTATTACTGAGTGGACTCGTCAAGTCTATTTATGGAATCAACGAGTTCACCAGTCAGAGACCAGAATTTTGACTTTTTCAGCTTTGAAAAACAAGTGAGTTGTTGGGTTATGAGCATTCTAAGATTCCTAAGTGTACATGCAACCTTAAATACCTTGGATCTATGTTTTCTCTATTATACATGCAAATATGAATATTTCAATGTATTATCCAAACTAGCATACAAAAACATTGATTCATATGGAATAATATAAGTTAAAAGATATACCTTTTGATGTAGCTTGATTCCACAAGTGTGACACCTCAAATGGTTCACACAACACCAAATACACTTATAATAACTTGAGAGAAATGAGACACTTCATGAAATCGATTTATCCTCACCATTCCTTCATAGTGACCGATTTTTGGGAGGAATAAGATGTTTATATAATGTATCACAATTAGGGTTACACCATGTAAACCCTAATTGTCATTGCCTTTCATTTCGATGATCCATGGGTACAAAAACACCATGGACAATCCTATGGGTTTTAGCCCAACTTGATAATCTATGGAGCATTAGCCCACTATACAAGTATGGATGACTTACACAATCAATCAATATATTTAATTAGTCTCCTTTTTATCACTTAATTAATTCTAAATTAATTTTTGATCAATACTAATTAAATAATCTTATTAATATATTAGAAATTATAATATATATTAATAAACCTTAAGTGTTATTTCTCTTATTTTAGTCTATCCAAATGCATGATGCCATGCAACCCAAATGGACCATGCCAATTGGGTCAAGTACATACCAAATATAGTTATGGACTTAGACACTAATCCAACATGAGCATCAAATATAATGGAAAACAATCCTAGGCTTTGATACCACTGTTGGGTTTTGAGCACTATAACACTCCTATGGTGCACATGCAATCCTAAATGGTTTGGATCTATGTTTTCTCTAATTATACCTGCATTTTGTTTATCCAAAGCATTCACCCTAGCTAGCATACAATTGAAGCTATATAACAAAACTTAGTTTGGATGCTTACCTCTTGAGTAAGGTAGAGTTCTTGACCTTTGATACCACTGTTGGGTTTTGAGCACTATAACACTCCTATGGTGCACATGCAATCCTAAATGGTTTGGATCTATGTTTTCTCTAATTATACCTGCATTTTGTTTTTCCAAAGCATTCACCCTAGCTAGCATACAATTGAAGCTATATAACAAAACTTAGTTTGGATGCTTACCTCTTGAGTAAGGTAGAGTTCTTGACCTTTGAAAGCTTGAGCACCTCAAGTGCGATGCCTCTAATGGTTCACAAACACCAATATGCAATAGGGGGCTTTAAGAGAATATGTTACTTGACTTTAAAGAGGGTGTAGCCGATTTTGGCTTATGGGGTCACTCTTTATAATGTGGCAAATGATAGGGTTACACTTTGTAAACCCTAATAACCTATGACTTTCCACATTCTCATGCTCCATGGGTTTAACCTCCATGGACTATCCATGGATTAGTTTAGCCAATAATCATGGATCATTGGCCCACATTACAAGAATAATTGATTTACATAATCAATCCAAATATATTTAATTAGTCTCCTTTGATCACAAAATTAGTTCCAAATTAATTCTTGATCAATACTAATTAAATAATATTAATATATTAGACTTGTAATATATTAATAAATCACAAATAACCTTATTCTCAAAAATCCATCCTATAAAATTGCAATGGTGAAGGCAACCCAAAAGGACCATGCTACTATCAGGTCAAGTTCATCACAGTTATATTTATGGGCTTAGAAACCAAATCCAATAGTTACAAGCTATTGAATCGGAGAAATAGAGACAAATTGTAACGTCCCAAAAAATAAGAGGTAAAAGTTTCATTTTTAATACAATCAAAAGATATATTATCTTTTATTCAAACATTTAAAAGTATTTCATAATATAACAGTCATCATAGTATAATCCCAAAATCATCACAATGTAGACACATGGGTGCATGTGCTGCGATCAAGCCAGGCCTTTTCCTTTCGAACCGGTAGTGCCTGAAAGCATAACCATAAAAACCGTAAGCATAAACATAAGTAAGTTCCCCAAAATACCACATACCATACATACCATTGGGCCTAGCCCCCACATTGAGCCCAAATGTTATGCGTGTCAAACCCAACAAATAATAGGGGTACAACTGACTCCAAATACACCGCTTTAATGCATTAAAAAGTAGTATAAGGCAAGCAGGGTGGAACCACAGAGACACGGGATAAAAGTCTATACCTCTTTGCGCAAGGTACTTTGGTCACAAAGGGGGATTTGTTTGCAAAAGTGAAATAATAAAATAACAATCTACTTTAAAAGCATGCACAAAATGAAATAAACTTGTAAACAATTTGATTGAATGGTCCTAGTTTTAGTTCTCAATGTTGTTGTTCAACTTGATTATGACTTGATGTAATTCATGATTGTTATTCTAAGTTGGTACTGAAAGATATTAACACGCTTTAATTCCTCTCGTTTGTCAAATTATCAAACCAAAACACGCTATTTGACTATACCTAACTTTAATAATTCAACCTAAACACTCTCTTAGATTGCATTGAAAAACTGCATTAAGTCTTGTATAAGTGTAATGCTCCATTCATGGTACGTACTTAATCTATTTATATCATTTTTATAAGATTAACTCGATGAGTAGCAGCCCTAACTCACCGACTAGATGTGAG